CCACCCACCCACCCCATGAGAAATTTGGGCTTTCTCACACCTGTTTTAGAATCTCCCCCCATTTTGGAGTCCCCCCCCATGGAAGTTTCTGGGGCCTTTCAAGGAGATTTTTAGAGTCTCCTCTGTGAGGTTCTCAGAGTCCATTCCCCTCTCCCCCTGAAGGTTTTTGGGCACCCTCTGAGGATTTTCGGGGTCCCCCGGAGGTTTTGGGGGTACCTCTCGCAGGTGCGGCACTCGCAGCCGCGGTTGCCCTCGCCGAAGAAGCCATCGCCGTAGAAACAGGTGATTTCTGCCCGGGGTGGGATGTCCCGCAGCGCCTGCACCCGCGCCCCGCCCGGGGCTGACACAAACTGCGCCCCAAAATACGTGAAACGCCCTCGTGAACCCCAAAAATAGGGATCCCAAACACGAGAGAGCCTCTTCTCCCCTCACGGCTCCCCGCCCTCTTCTCCCCTCACGGTTCCTGCCCTTTTTCTCCCCTCACGATTCCCGCCCTTTTCGCCCCTCACATCTTTCTCTTTCTCCTCTCCTGTTTCTCGCCCTTTTTTTCCCCTCATGTTTTTCTTCTCTCTTCACGTTTTCGCAAGTTTCCCCTCTCAGGTCTTTCTTTTCACCCTCGTGTCTTTTTCTCCTCTCAGTTTCTTGCCCTTTTTTCGCCTCGTTTTTCTTTTCTCCTTTCACGTTTCCCACCCTTTTCTCCCCTCACATTTCCTGCTCTTTTCACTCTTCACAGCTTTCTTTCTTTCCCCTCACATTTCCCTCCTTTTTCTCCCCTCAAGTTTCCTGCCCTTTTCCTTCCCTCGTGTCCTTTTTCCCCTCAAGTTTCCCTCCCTTTTCTCCCCTCACGATTTTTCCTCCTCTCACGTTTCCAACCCTTTTCTCCCTCACGTTTCCCACCCACATTTTCCTCCTGTTCCACTCTATTTTCCTCCACGCTTTCTCTTATTTTCCTCTCCCGTTTTCCACCCTTTATCCCTCAAATTTCCCATTTTTCTTTCGTGTTTCCCACCACTTCTCCCCTCACGCCTCCTGCCATTTTCCCCCCATGTTTCCTGTCGTTTTCCCTCACACTCCCTGCATTTCTCCATTGCTTTTTACCACCATTTCCCCCTTCGGATTTCCCACCGCTTTTCCCCTCACGTTTCCCGCTCTTTTCCCCTCATGTTCTCCGCCATCTTTCCCTCACGTCCCCCAGCACAAACCACACCCCAAAACCCACCATTTCTCCCCCAAAAAACACCATTTCTCCCTCAAAAACCACCATTTCTCCCCCAAAAACCCTCCTGAAACTCACCCTGCAGTTGGGATGGCAATCTGAGGAGAACAAAAGAACCATCAGCGCCTGCTCAAGGACCGCCACGACAGCCAGGTGGGTCCCGAGGCTGCTCGGGGGGATTCCGGGGGGTCCCAGCGCAGGATTTTTGGGCTCGTGGCTGAGTTCCTGGGAGGTTTTAGGGTCCCACCGTGGTTGATGAAGGCCGCGGGCCCCAGCCAGAGCTGGGTTTTCCGGCGCCGTGTGGAGTACATGAGGCTGAAGTCGTTGTCGCCCGCCCGGAGCAGCGCCCGGTCCGAGCCCCGCAGCTCCACCCCGCAGCCCCCCAGCAGCTCCAGCGTCTCGTGCTTGCGCCTGGGGACGCACGAAGGGAAATTAAAATGAATTACCTTAATTAATTAATTAATTACCTTAATCCTCAGGGGTTTGGGTACCCGCCGTGTGCGGGAGGAGAGCCAGAGAGGGAAATTACACCCGATTCTGAGGGTAGTTTGGCTACCTGGACAGTCAGAAAGGGAAATTACACCAAATCCTGAGGGGAGTTTGGGTACCTGGACAGTCAGAAAGGGAAATTACACCCGATTCTGAGGGGAGTTTGGGTACCTGGACAGTCGGAAAGGGAAATTACACCCAATCCTGAGGGGTTTGGGCACCTGTCGTGTGTGGCTGTACAGCCAGAAAGGGAAATTACACCTCAGTCCTGAGGGGTTTGGGTACCTGGACAGTCGGAAATGGAAATTACACCCGATCCTGAGGGGTTTGGGCTGTCAGTGCCGTGGCTGTGGCGGGTTCAGGGGGGCTCAGAGTCCCCGGGGATTTTGGGGGGATTCTGGGGTGTTTTTGGGGGGATTCTGGGGGTTTTGGGGGGATTTTGGGCTCACCAGGCGCGGGTGGACACCACCCTGGCGCCGTTGGTGTCGCGGCTGTAGCGGGTGCAGCGCTGGATGCTGAAGCCGCTCTCGGGCAGGAGCGTCCGCAGGTACCGGAACACCTGCAGGGGACACCGGCCATTCCCCAAACCCCACAGACCCCGCGGCTCCCCCTCAGCGGCTCCTCC